CCCATAAATAAATATTTCTTTAACATACGGTAAAATAATATTTTTTAAGGTTAGGGTTTGGAGTATATGGTTTGGGTTTTGGAGTTTTTGGGTTTTAGGGTTTGTGATTTGATTTTTAGGGTTTCTAATTTAGGATTTAGGATAAAAAGATAGTTTTATCACGCGTTAAAGAAATATTCTTTTATGAGTTTTAAATTTTAATCAAATCTAAGTCATTTATTTATTTATTTTAATTTAGTGACTATTAAATCAATAATAGAATAATTATATTTTATCATAAAGCAATAATAAAATATTATTAAATTATAATTTTTATATAAAAAATAACATGAAATTAATATAGTATTTATGAGAAAAATAAATGATTTAAGAGAAAAAATTATGAATTGCTTAAATTTATTAAATTATTTTAAATCAGAATTAAATAAATAAAATGTCTAAATTTTGACAAAAAATAATTATTATATTATATCACATCACCATTTTATTTAATATTAAATAATAATTTAATTGAGTGTCTAAATTATAATATTTAGAGAAAAAAAACCCTTTATTACCAAACACATAAAAGAGTGTTTTTAGGGTCTATTTTACCCGTTTTGTTTTTCTTAGTCTTATTGGGCTTGGGCCTTTAATGATGTTTACACGTAGAAAAGTGGATCTTGGCCATATAGTTTAGGAGGGCCTAATCAATTTTTTAAAAGAATTAGAGATAAAGTCAAAATATTTATAAAAAAAATATTTGGACATAATGATTTATTTAAAAAAAATATAAGGGTTAAATTAATTTTTTAATAATATTTGGAGTTGGAATAAAAAAAATTAGCATTTTTATAAGGTATTCATTAAAAATATTAATTTTTTTCTAAACATAAGAAATTTTAAACTATTTTAAAAGGACCAATTAAAGTTTTAAAAATATAATACAAATTTCTCAAAATTTTATATTCCAAGATCCACCTCAGAAACTCATGACCAGGGAAAGCTTATTGATATTTAATTATTTACACATATTCAAGGTGAAATAAAATACAAATAATATTTTAACATTTTTAAGAAGTTGTTTTATAAATTCATGAATATAAAATTACAAAATTTTAATGATATGAATTTGGATCATTAATAAAAATATAAAAAATATATAAATTATATAAAGATTTAAAACTTTTAAATATACAATCATATCCTCTAATTTGTATCAATCCATCCTTATCTAGAGAATACCGTTAGAAAATCCGTTAAGTGACATGTGTCACAATTTGATAATTTTAATTTTTGTTTGAAACATACAAAAAATTAAATTATTATATTTATAAAAAAATTTACTTTTTCTAAAATTACAAAAAGCCTCAAATCCATAAAAATCCCAATCCTCTAGCCCTAACCTCCCTTGCCAACCACAATCGCCATCGTCGCCGCCGTCCTTGCCTATGTTGCCTTGGTTTTCGTCGGAGCCGTCGAGATGCTTTAATTTCATGGTTTTGGTTTAGGATTCATCGAGTTTAAATCATCGATTATGATTGCTTCGGGTGGTTGTGTCGTCGGTGGCAATTCGGTCTGCTGGAGGTTTATTGATGGCAACGATAGAAAATGGAGGTGGTCGGCGTAGGTTGAGGGATTGGAATAAATATTTTCAAAAGTTTTGAATTTTTTAAAAATAAATTATATTTTTAAGTTTTTAATTTTAAATAAAAAAGTTCAAAATTATCAGAATGTAACACGTGTCACTTCACTGAGAAAAATAATAGCATTTACGACATGGACACCTAAAGTGATAATGTTTGTAAGGTTAGACACCTGATTATTCAAAAAGAAATGGGTACTTATTTGTGAAATCGATATAGTTTGTGCACTTATTTTATAATTATGCCAAGATTAATGAATCTGATTAAAGGTCAATTTTGCATATCAAAATAAACAAATTTTAGCAGACAAGAATCAGTAGCTTAATTCAAATCCATTCAATATTCTTGGATTGTATAAATCAAATCGTTTTCTGTTGTAAACTATTTTTCCATGCAATAAACATCAACAATTCAACCTCCACCGACAGACTATTTATTTCTCGAGAAATTTTACAGTGCGACACTCTTAATATACAATTAAAAAAACGTTATCGGTTTTATTATTATTTAAATAATAAAATTTGTAAAAAAATTACCTAAAACATTATTATTTATACCTAAAACATTAATATTTTTAACATTTCCGGTAAAGTACCCAACAATAACAAAACCGATAAAAAAAATAACAAAATCGATAGTATCTTTTTTTAACAGTATATTAAGACTGCCACACGTGATATTTTCCTCTTTTTCCAGTTCTCATACGACAAGTTAACCCAAAAAAAGAAACAATTGCAATTCTTTCAACACAATTTTAGAATTACAAGTCATCTAAGCTCGTGGTTTGAAAATTGATTTTTTTAGGTTTGTTGTTGATTTTATTAAAGGTGCCCACTCCTTGTATCCTCCATGTAATCAATTTTTTTTTTAAGTTAATTGTTCATTTTAATAAAATTATTCATGTTGAAATCTGAATTTTTTATGTTAATTGTTCATTTTACTGAAGGTTGAAGTTCACCTCATACGAAAAATTTTCGTTATTAATACATATATGTCTACCTTGAAAAATATTTCTGGATTCGTATATGAACAAACCCCTAACCACGCCTAAACTTGAATTTTCTCTTTTAGGTCCCTCTTAAGGTTGAAGTTCGATTGATTAAGGTCTTGTCCCAATTGGATTTTCGGTTCTCTTAGCTTTGAAACAAAGTGAATTACATCCTAGCCTCCTTTTGGGTACAATTGCTGTTCAAGTCCCTCTTAGTATTGAAACCATGTCTCGACCTATCATTTGTAGAAATACTTTTTAGGCCCCATTTCAATTGAATTTTTATAATTAGTACATTGCATATAAAATCACACACAAAAGCACTATATTAAATTACATATAGATTCTTAATTTGAATTTTTGATCCATAACCTAGATATAACCATGCCCGTATTTGAGCATAGGTAAGAGGGGTATTTTCCCAGGACCCTCTCTTGGGATCTAAAATTGTGAAGTTCATATATAATTAAAAAGGGATAAATTATTTATTTAGTCACTGACATATTATTTTATTTTGAAAAAATATATAATTTTTGCCCATGTAGTAGGCCCAATTTATTACTTTATTCTCTATCGTATTTTCGTATCAATTTAGCGAAGTTGCTCAATCGCATCATTTTATAACCCTACATCTAACTTAAAACCCTAAACCCTAAACCTATTACCTCTAAACACTAACTTAGGGTTTATATTTTAGGATTTTAAATTAAGAGAAGAGTATAGAATGATGCAATTAAACAACTTTGAGGGCTAAATTGATGCGAAAATACGATAGGGACGAAAATGGTAAATTGGGTCTACTACAAGGGCAAAAGTGACTCTTAAGCCTAAATTACTTAACATTACATTTTTATTTATTTTTGGTTATCCATAGGTAAAAAAAAATCAAGAACAACGTTTACGTGGCATTTTAAAGTTATTTTTTTTATTTTGATTTAATTATTCTTTTATTAATTTTTTGACAAGATGGGGAATGTTAAAATCGAACATATACTCTCTTGAAATAGGATCATGCTTATTTTGTATGACTAGTTGGATGTTTAATCAAACTTCTTGATGTTTTCTATTTAAAATTTGATGCATTTACTAGATAGTTTATTAAACATAATAAAAATAATAATTTACAAACAAATTTATTTATTTTTTCCTTTCTTTTACAATTTAATTTTTTTATACTTATTATTAGAGGCTAGTTTCTATATTCGTCTCAAACCACTAAAATCTCAGAAACGGCTACGTATGTAACCTTAACTTTGAGGCCTTAATTTTAAATAAAAGAAATAGCTATCAACACTTTAATTTAATATCTAAACTGTGAAGTAATGATTCTAGACAACTGAACTGGTAAGTCAAGTCTTGAGGGGCAAATATCTTAATGGAGCAATCATCTTCATTAGCAGACATTTGCTTACATCGGATAATCATGGAGGGGAACATTTACCCTTATTTTATTTTTACTGTATTACCCCTTTAACGAAGGTCAAACTCGAAATTTTTAAGAATATCAATCGTCCTTTTAACTACTGAGATAATTTGATTCGTATAATTTTATTTGTAGAGTTAAAGAAAGATTGTTACCGATTGATCAAATAACAATCTTATATATAATGTTATCACTTTAACGTATATGGAAACATTAAACATTAATACTAATATTTCAAATAATAATTCTACATATTATATTCTCATCTTAATATATATATATTGAATAATATTTAAAATATATATATAATTTTTAAACCATATAAATTATGTGCATTTAAATATAGAGTTAATTGCATCATATGTCTCTAAACTATGACTCTCATTTTTAAATTGATCTCTAAAGTTTTTAATATTCCAATTTCATCCCCAAATTATGACTTTCATTCTAAACTGGTCCTTAAACTTTTGAATATTCCAATTCCATCCCCAAATTCATCCAAATATGGAATTAGTTTCAACCATAATTAACCATAATTTTGTTTTTTTTCAAATATAATAATATAACTTGGCCTAACAATTTTATTAACAGTGAATGCGATTAGTATATATGTATAGTTTGGGATAAAAATGGAATGTTCAGAAAGTTTGGGGACTAATTTAGAATGAATGTCATAGTTTGGGGATGAAATTGAAATATTCAAAAGTTTGAGGACTAATTTAGAATGATAATCATAGTTTAAGGATGAAATTGAGAAATTTAAAAGTTTAGATACTGATTTAAAATGAGGGTCATACTCGAAAGAAATTGAAGACTTTTTCTAAGGTGATTGATTTGGTTCATTTAGAGCACAAGAGTCAATAATTTGACTTTGACCCGAACGAACCAGCAAGTGGGACGACTCCAAATTCACATTATTTAAGAAGCTTCTGTACATAGAATTATTTTTCAAAGCTGTGATTGTTCAATGCTGGTTCATGCACTATACCACCAAAGCTGAATGATTAATGCTTAAGCAGCTCCGGCGATCAAAGATAGGAGAAGATGGACGTAAATCAAGGTGTTAGTGATAACAAGGTCGTCGAAGAAGATGTTCTGCTACCGGGATTTCGGTTTCATCCTACCGATGAAGAGCTCCTAGGTTTTTATCTTCGCCGGAAAGTTGACAAGAAACCCCTCAGAATCGAGCTCATCAAACAGATTGATATTTACAAGTTTGATCCATGGGATCTCCCAAGTATGTTCTCAGCTACCTTCTTTCATTCTTAATGAAAACATGTATATATGTATGTATACATATAAGTGTATGTGTGTATAGCTATATATATATATATATGTACATGTACACGAGTCTTTGGTTTCCAATAAGGGAAAAGGGTTTTGCAGATTTTTACTTCTCGTGTTTTTCTTCCCAAAACTTCTGAAGAATTTGATCTGATCAGAGTATAGAAAATGATTGCAGATATAGAAATCTTGAATAATAAATTTGTTTTGATCATTCGGACTAAATTCTTTTTGGTTTGTTCGATCGAGATTAATGAAATTATTCAGCATCGAATATAAATTATAGTTTATAAAGGTGAATTAAATGAATGATGGAATGAATTGCAGAGGCTAGCATGGTGGGCGGCGGCGGCGACCATGGCAGCGGAGAGGCCGTATCGTATTTCTTCTGCAAACGAGGAAGGAAGTACAGAAACAGCGTGAGACCGAACAGGGTAACAGGGTCTGGTTTTTGGAAAGCAACCGGCATTGACAAGCCTGTTTATGCACAAGCATCGTCACGGCCAGCAGGTCAAGGCCATGCCTGCATTGGCCTAAAGAAAACCTTAGTGTATTACCGCGGCGCCGCCGGGAAAGGAACCAAAACCGATTGGATGATGCACGAGTTCCGTCTTGCTACCGACGATAATAGTAACGTCGGCAGTTGTGGCGGCTTTTCGAACCCGAAAACCGTTGCACAAGAAGCTGTAAGTGAAGATGATGTTTCCAGTAGGGTTAATGCATGTTTCATTTCATTTAAATCATGACAATTTTTTTACGTAATTGTGCTTGCAGGAAGTATGGACCCTATGTCGAATTTTCAAGAGAGATTCGTCGCTCAAGAAATTCAGACCAGATTGGAGACAACTCGCAGCAAAAAAGGGTTCAAATGCCACACAAATTAGCTCTCAAACATGTACTACTGTTGAATCGAACAGCCATGGGAACTACATCGGCTTCGGTTCTCCGATGGTTGAAGATTACCATATCATCAATGGAAGAAGCCAATGGCAGATTGCAGACAAAATGAGTGCAGTAGCTCAAATACCTTTATCAATGGCGTCGTCGTCGAGCTTTTCGAATTGTCTGGAAAATGATTTCTTCACCGATGCTAGTTGGGATGAGCTGAAATCGGTTGTGGAGTTTGCTCTTGAACCCTTTCCTATGTAAATGATGGGTTTTTAGGGTTAATTAGTAGCTAATTTTATCCCTTTTTACCGTTGTTTACGAGTGATAAAGACTATCAACCATTTAACAATGACCGCTCAAATAACCTGCAGTCTTTGGTGCTCAAAGCCTCGAACCTATGACTTCTAATAATAATATACATTCATTTAACCGCTGAGATAGTATATATGTTTTAAAGACTCTCAACCATTTGACAATGACCGCTCAAATATCCTGCAGTCTTTGTTGGTCGAAGCTTCGAACCTATGACCTCTAAAAATAATATTAATTCATTTAACCGCTGAGGTAGTTTGATTTATGCCTTCCCTCGACAAAATTATTTTTAAGATTTGGTAATAATATGGGATAGGTAATATAATATATAGTAATATGTGGTTGATTATGGATCTTTGTAATATGTGGTTCATTAGCAATGTGTATTAATTAACCTAATTTTCTTCGTGATGATGCATGCTTATGTTACAAGTGGGAGGGCCATCCCTCCAACTTCGGCGGGTTAATTGTATTTCAAGTCACCAATAGTTTTGAAATCATTGGAATTAAGTCATGACTTCTTTCAATTCTTATGGTTTAATTAAATCTAATGTTTCGTCGGTTTTAAAATTAATAAAATCAAGTCTTGACTCCCAAATTTGTCTAACTACATTTTAAAATCTTTCGATTTTAAAATTAGCGACATGTAATTCTAACACCGCTACTTTTATAGTTTAATTACTTTTTAAGATATTATTCGTTTCGAAGCTGAGCAACTCAGTCTTCTCGTAACTGAATCTTAACTCCGTCCCTAGTCATTAAAGGTGGTCCATAATGAATATTCTAAGTATGCCTTGATTGACCGATTGATTAGATTCCAAGATTCAAGTCAAAATAAATGATGGATTGTGAGAATCTTGGAATCCTTTTTGAGACTTGAAAATAACAAGTTTTTGGCAGCATCATCCATGGTTTTATTTGCTCTGATTAATTAATTAATCCGCTTACTCCGGAGGGATTAAAATAGAAAAGTTAAAACCCGGCTGCAAGATACATATAATTATAATTAAAAGGACTTACTCGTTGATTGTTCAACTATATACAAATTTTGAAAAAGTAGAATCAGAACCTTTCCACTTTGTTTCAACTTTCAAACCACGTGGCCTTCGAAACTTATCCAAATTAACCATTTGGTCCTTTTTTATTCGCATTGCTTCTGATTAAGACAACAATAAATAATTAAATAAAATTATATATATATTTCTTTTACGTTACGTATGTGCTTAGAGAAGTATAGGGTTAATGCATGTTGTAATTAAAGGAAAATAAAAAAACGAAATCACTAGTAATATTCATCCCAACTTGAACCCACTTGTAATTTAGGATTTTAAGAAAAAGATATTTTATTATTTAATTTAATTATATATAAAAAGTCAAAGTTTGGAGTCATTCGTGAACTCATATGATGTGAAAGTTAAAGGTTAAAAGTGACTTTTAATTAGGGGTGTTTAAAACGGATATTTGTATATTTGGGGTACTTGAAGTATCATATATCTAGTTCATCGGGTAGTATATTTGAAGGTCCGTTTTGGGTATTCCTAAAAGTCGGGTACCCTCACTTTCGAGTCATGGGTACTTGATTCATATATATATATATTTAATTTTATTTTTTTTAAAATTAGATATGAAACACATAAAATTTAAAATTTCATAATACATAATCTATACACAAAATAAATGATTTAAAGTTAGTTTCGATGATATATTATTAAAGTTTCTAAAAGAAAATATTAAAAAAATTAATATCGGTCGTACTTTTTTATTCGAATCTCATATTGAAAAATTAATAAAATTTAAAAGTTCATAACAGAAACCTATAAAGAATTTAGGGATTTATATTGAATTTCAATGTAAAATATTAAGAACCTAAAAGTAAAAATATAATTTTAAACAAATATATATATATATATATACTATTGGATCGGGTCTGTTACTCGATTATAAATTTTTTGGCCCAAACCAGGCCCAATTACCAAAGAACTGAAAAATGCCAAAAAAAGAAGAAAAAAACGTGTCATAAAAACAGATAAAAACGTACAACACAGACAAACTTATTAACAATAAAACATCAAAAGAAAGTAAAAAATATGATATAAAAAATAAAAAGACAATAAAAATACCGACGATCGACAACTAATATTAAAATTAGTACTGCCGTCGATCAACAAAGACGAAAAAAAAAGATAAAACAACACACCAAGAGAAAACTAAATTTTTAGGATAGAAGTAGCCTGTCGTACATGTAATAATCTTAAAGTATCAGTTCATTAAGATATAAAATATCTAAACTTAGACTAATATGGACATATTAAGGACTAAATTGAGAAGACCCATCAACTTCAGGGACTAAAAACTAATTTATCCCAACCATGAAAAGGGAAGAGGAGAAACATGGTTCAAGGCAATGAAACACACGGAAAACTTGCATCAACTGAAGCAAAAAAGCCTTTATTTTAATTATTACAAGATATCTGGAAATCATCCATCGTTCGAGGTTTATCGCATTGCTACGAATGCGATAACAAAAATCGTTTTTGTGCCGTCCGGTCCAGTCTGGTCCATGTTTATGTCATGTAGTATGCGTCCGACGTCGTGTTCGGAGTACGCAGTATACCCTATACATGCTTCTGTTCTGTTCTCGTGTTGTATCACCTTTCTATTCTGAATTTGGATAAACTCCATCTCCTACCTTGAGCCATGAATCTGTTACCAACTCGGCTTTACTACCAGGATCATAACTCAGCAATACCCCGAACAAAATCTTCCCCTGGATCCATCGAAGAACTTAATATCGCTCGCATTGCAGTTGAAAAACCGGAAAAAAAAAGCAACAATTATCGATTTTAGATTAGGAAGGCTAACCCTGACTCTCCTGTATGATGCTAGAGTCGCCAAAGGTTCATTTGTCTTCTTCACTTGCCCTGTTTGCTGATAAAAATTAATCATCTGGCAACGGTTGCAGCCACCTAATGACTGGAAAAAATAGTTATTAAGAAACACAGGCCATATATACCATGCATAAACACTACCGGCGAATTTTTTGAAACGGAAAAGGCAAAATGTCATCCGGAGCAGTTTATTTGCACTCCGGAGTCCGGATGATATAGGAAAGCAGGTAGAAGTGAAGAACTTAACAGTAAAATATGTGTTTCCAATTCTGAGATTCCTCCATCCATCTTCAGCATATGGTTCGCCTCCGGAGATCACAAGGTTGGGTCGAAATCTCATCGGGTTGACGTGAGGTGTCCCGCAACCAGAGAGTTTTTTAGTATCTGGCACCACAAAATTAGATTAAAGATGTAATAAACTGAATTGCCAATTTCAGCTTATCGCATGATAATAAAAGAGTTCACTGAATATCATACTTGAGGATAGTCTATTGTTGAGGTCTGATACACTTTCCTCGGAAATCAATAAGAACTGAGCTTCATTCACAAAATTCACCCTGCTATCCACATCTCTGCACATACCCACACTTCTGTTGTTGTTCAAAGAGAAGCAGTACTCGGACTGGTAACACCGCACTAAAGTGCACGGTTGACCAACAGCGTTACTAAACCATTGATTGATTTCGCTTTCATAACATTGGACTTCATATCTGATAATCAGGAAACAAGTACTTTAATAGGAAAATTCTAACTGCAAGAACTTTTGCAGATTGGAATTAAATGCAAATCAAATTCCAACATGTTAAAAAACATGACTTGATAATAATAATAAGAGAAAGCGAAAACTCCTATGATCTCATCGCACCTCAGATTATGCAAATAAAACTCTTCTTTCCTGAAAAGATATGAATCAGGGTCTAGTTTGATCTGCAATTTCCTTTTGCAATGGGGAGACTCTACAGATAATATCTGCTGCTTGAGGTTAATGAAGGTATTAATGAGGGACATCTCAGGAACCTACAAAAGAAAACAAGTTAAAAAATGAATTTCTCTAAAAAAATTCCATTGGAAAAACAAATTCCTGTCCAAAAATAAATACTGGCATGCATTAAGATGCAAAATATTAACCAATAATTAGGATAAAAAACATAAATCTACAAAAACAACAGCACTAAAAGGTAAAGGCCTCTTCTAAGCAGAGGAACTATTAACCTTCTTTTGCGTAAGAATTTCGCCACTCAAGCTTTTAAGAAGCCATTCTCGATCATATTGCAGACCTGCATTGACAGGTAATAGTGAACAGATCTTTTACCTCTATATAATAGACAGGGAAAGAAATCGGCAAGCAAAGATCTTCCATTCGTGCATTCACAAAAAGGAAAAATGAGATATTCAAAATTAGAATTCAAAACAGAAAAGCATTGTTTATTTTCATTCAGAGCAGACACAAGCTTGGAGATGTAAGACCTCAAACAATGGTGATAGCTTCAGTTTTAGTTAAGGTATCATTATCCATTTGCTTCAGCAACATTTAAAAATGTCATGTTGGTTTAACATTAAACTACTAAAGAAGCCAATGTCCCAACGATAAACATAACAACATGTTACCAGTATTGTTGAGAGGCCAATTTTTCACACTGAAACCTGCGCAAGATTTTATTGGATAGATGCTTATCGACTTAAGGCGGCAACCGGAACTTGACAGCCGATCTTCAAGGCCTGTAATTCAGAAACAACAATATGTTATGCCACAAACATACAAAATCGAGCACCAGAAGACAATTTGATGCCATTTGCAACTTTCATACAAAAAATTATGATAGAAATAGGTCTCTCCTCTTAAAAGAAAAGTCAGTGATGCACCATGCAAAACTTAATGAAGTACGTACAGTGGTGGTATCTGTATAATGGCATGTATTCAAGGTACGAAGTAAGAAAATTAAATGATGAATCTACATACAAAATCAGAATCCATCTAGTTCTATTTGACACCACGTGCCATTCAAATTCATGTGGTCTTTGACGGTCTAAATGACACCATATTACTAATAGAATTACTTAACAGAGGAAATGGTTTGCCAATCAAGCAAAGGAGAACTTGAAACTCTAACAAATAGTTTTCATTTCCTTGGCAATAAAAATGAACCAAAACACTGAATAACCTTCAATTGCACATGGAATTGACTTTGATCTGAGCAGGTAACCTTTCTCGAACTCGCTTGGCATAGATACAAAGGAACTTCTTATAAAATCAATAAATTTCTGTCCGGAGGAAAAGCAACAGTCAGTAAATACCATCAAACAGAAAGAATAACAGAAACAAGCACCAAATATATCTCATGTTATTATCTATGGAAATCAACAGACCACACACAAGTTCTAATAGATCAGTATCCTTTATGTTGGAAGCTTCTATGTTCCATTTCACTTGACAGCTGATGCATGAATACAATAAAAAGAAAAAAAAAGTTCACCTATTATTTCTAGAATAGAAATAAAGTGCAGAATTCAAAAGGTAACAAAAAAAATAAAATTAGCTACCTTAGCATCTTCATAAGTAGACATGTAACCAAAAGATACTCTAACTGCTCCAGTTGGTTTTCCATTTATTACATCATTGTCATCCCAGCAAACATGCCCAGCCTGAACTCAAAGCAAAGCTCATTTTATTTCTTTCCCGGTAAATCAACCACATCCGTATAACTCAACCACAAAATAAAATATTACCAATCAAACAAAAGAAAGGCATACCTCCAAGTTAGAAAGAAGATCTGAGTGAGACAAGCCAAGATATTTTGCACAAGCACCAGGATTGCAAAAGCATCCAGTCTACAACAAAACAGCAACGGAAGGGAAAAAGAATTACCATCACAAAGCTAGTAACACAAGTGTAGTCAATTATTTCTTTAATCTTCATCAAGATCAATAACACCAGTTTTCCTAGGACATTGTATAAGCTAACACCAGTTTTCCTAGATCAAATAAATTGATACAGTAGCAGAAAGCTAGAAAGTTGCCTCATATTATTCCAAAGAATTTTAAGGTTATTTTTTTTGAAAAGTGAATTTTAAGGTTATAAACAACATATAAAGGTGTTTGCATACTTTCTATTTCCCAAATACTTTGTAAGGTCTGGAATATACAAGACAACATGAAAAAAGGCATTTAACAAGCAGTCACTAAACCATAACACAAATCACTATTTGTTTATAAAGTTATGCTTGCTCTAGACATTTTCTCAGAGTTTACCCGTAACTGAATCCCAGATAAGGATGCCAATTTTTCCACCTCCCGATATCCAAACCAAGAGCCATCTGGTCTTTTCAGGTTAAACGAGACAATGGAGCCAGATTCATGCATAGAAACCTATGAGAAGAGTTGCAAAACATTTTAAAAAAAGGTTAATAATTAAAAAAAAAGAAATGCAAAGAATGGAAAGCACGATCAAAGCAACTTATAGCAAAAAGCTTCAAATGTCCAAATAGACCAGACTGAGCAATTATAAGCCAAAAACTGCATTGGAATCCCACACACAAAACAATATGCATTATTCAACCTGAAATATTGAAATGCCTTACATGATATGGATTTTAAAGAGGAAAAAAAGCAACATGAGAAGATTCCCATCTTTTTTCCCATTTCAAGTACATCTGAAGCAGCAATAATATGTCATAATTAATGCTTATTCGAGGACATCTATTGCCTTTAATTTGTGCAACAAACCTTCAGAGCACAATTGCCATAAATAGTGCAGACACTTGCTCCATTTTCATGTCGCAAATCTAAGAGCTTCTTCTTCAAAAACATTGTAAGTGACATAGTATGCCTAGAAGAGAACAGTGTTAGAGAAGAGGAGGCAGCAATATGTTAATAGGAGTTAAAATATGTTTCCTGAGTTAGATGAGTATTATGTCGATGTTGCCATTGCTAGGGTGCACTCTTTTTCCTCCACTTAGGATTAGGGAGGTTTTTTAATGAGGCCTCTAGCAATGCTTGATTTTATTATAATTCAATAAATAAATCTCTTTACCTTTAAAAAAATGACTATCATTGGTCAAAAATAAACAAAGGACGTGAAATAGATAATCAAGCATGGGAAACAGAAACCGAAAATACATTAACAAACGGAATAATTAAGTTGTGAAATAATTGACGAAAACATGCTATCATATGAACATTCACAATGATGTAAGATATATAATAGAAAATAAACTCGATAATGCTAATACAATCTTTGAACTTTGCAGTGTTATAGAAATGAAATTTTTCATACCGGCACATTGCAGATGTGGTGAGGGAATTCAATATTTTAAATCCATGAAGAATTGATGCTATGCTAAGGAATGAAATGGTGCCATCCTCGAAATGCTCCTCAACACCTTCTCGTCTTCTGACAAAGTCAATGTCAGCAATCGAAGCAGCAACAGTCCCTGTAACACTTATAGTTAAATAACAAAACAACTACTGTATATGTAATCATCAATAAGACTTATAGGTACAAACCTCCACTGAAATAGGTTTTCTTCAATAACTTAGCAGCATCTGAAAGGAAAGGAAAAGAAAAAAGGATATTAGAAAACCATATTAAAAAAGATTCCTGTTCTTAAACTTAGATTTACTTAATCGGGATTTGTCTAAAGGCTATCTAAAGACGGGGAAATATAAATCAACAAATCAATGAATGCCAAAACCCATTGAGCAATGAAAATGGAAAATTCATCATATCTATTTCTTTCACAATTCATGAACCGTTTCTATTTCCAGAAATGCATAGTAATCTCAACCAGTCTAAATCTTTTATGGCAGAATGACTCATGCTTAAAAAAAAAGTAAGAAAGAAAGTCCATGCTTACAATCAAAGAAATAATTCATTACAACAAACCAATTAGGTACAGGCACATAGCAAAAATATCTGACTGGATCTATCTTACTATTGTGTAAAAAAGAAAAAAGAAAAAAACTCCATACACCATCAGCTGGGTATAACTTCAGAAACCCGTAATCTACAGACTCAGCCACTTATCCTATCAAAAAAAACAGACTCAGCCACTTACCATTTCGAATTATGAGAGCACCAAGTCCAGTTGGATAGCCAAACAACTTCAGAATGACAACGCAATGGCAAAACAAAATTATGTTGTTAGATTAGTTTCTTCCGATTTCTAACATTTCAGGATAAACAAAGAGTTAATACTCGCTAAAAAGCCCTGAATGGTCTCATCCATTTACCTTATAAAATGAGATGACAACAAAATCTGCAGGATATAGTGACAAATCTGGAGGCTGAGTTGCACAGCCCTTTGCAGCATCAATTAAGACCATCCAACGTCCCCTGATTATACACAGTGATGATTACCAAATCTATACCATGGAAATGGAAAGAGGCAATGCTTAAGAACTAATGTCTAAAAAGTTTCATAGAAAACACACATTTAAAAAAAAAGACATCAAAGAAACATGAGTTCATTTAAAAATAGTGACTTCAAGGAAACTACATACTTTGAATATGGCAAGCCTTCCAAAACATTTTCTGCATTTTGCTTAACAATATTCACCAAATCAAGGCTAAATCTCATTCCAGAGAAATTGCATTCAGAGGGGAAGGCAAACAAATTGTAAGCATCACCTGCAACAATAAAAAATGATATGAAGCTAAAAGGTGGCAAGGACAAGGACACCAGATGCTTTTCTCCTTCATATGGTAATATTTCAAGAAGAAAAACGAATGATTATAATCATTTTGAAAGCAACATTTTCATTTGCTTTAGTCATGCATCCAACAAGAAAAACCTTGCATGCTTTGTATTTGCTAGTATCAATACTAACATTTCAATCCATTTGGCTCTTCATTAACAATATTTTGGTTGAGCAAAAATCTGATAAGAAAAAATATTGAAATTCTTTGTAACACAAAGAAATGTACATAAAGTACCAAACTCAGCTAAATGTACAAAAAATAGCTATTTCATCCGGAATCATTTCTCTTGCAGGTATCTGTAGTTTTCAGTTAACATATTTGTCAAAATGTTACCTATAACCGCCCCTTCCAAAACTTTAGTTTCATTTCTTCTCTGCACTGAATGCTGTGATACCTGAACTGAAGTCGGAGACTTTTGAGATGATCCATCCTGATCCACAGCCTCATTTATATCTACAGAAAAAGCTGCAGCTCCTTGACTGAGAGCATATCTAATAAATTATTAAGGACAAAGTTAAAGAATCAAGAATACCGAGAGAAAGAACAAAAATGCTGATCCTGTTCAGTCATATAGTCAAACAAAAAACACAACATACTATTAATATCACAGGGAATATACGATGCATTTAGAAAGGAAAAGAAAAATCATAGTATGAGTGCACCAGCCTCAATTTATAATAGCACACCCAAAAGTATAACCGGCAGGATACTCTCTAAGACCAAGTACACTATTATGATTTTCCATCGTGTACATAAAGGTGCTGTTACAGCTCCAGGGAAAGTTCTCCCCTATAAGCTTCAATGCAGCTGTTGCCCCAGAAGTGAATATACATTTATAATCCTTTTGACAAGCATTGCAGTAATCAAGGACCTATTTAGGAAGAAAAATAAACAAAAGAAGACAATGATTTTGATACCACAGAGACAACAAGATAATTTATTTACAGGCACAAATACAATTAGAGCACAATTACCAATATCTATAAAGTACTCATTTATGACTTCATATTCAAAATCTATGACCTTTAAAACTAAGCTTGCCAAAGAACTATGAACTGCAACAGAAAACAGAGTGAAGTGACATTCATAGTACCTGTCGGCGTGCTTCCTTTACAATGTCACCAGTGGCTGAACTTGAATCGCTTTGGCTATCTTACAAAATTAGTCAAGAAGAACATAAGCTATGGTTCTATATGAAACTTATTATTTCCAAGAACGGGTAAGACAATCCAATTAAGACCGAAACTTAAACAACAGTAGTAACCTTTAGCTTTTCAGCCAAAAAAAACCCCATCAATTATCCAAAACAAACAAATACAGTACAGGATTCCCGAATCACGTGTTAAACAATACTTCCCAAATCAGAATAACAGAATTCATTTCTAGGTTCTCTTTCCAAAAAAAATTTACATCTTTAGATCAAAACCAAACAAGTGCAGTACGGAAGATATTAGTCAACAAGAAACATATATAATCCAATGAATAAATCATAACAACAGTTGTAATTTGATCAAATTCAGAGGGAAAAAAACAATGTTTTCTAGTTAAGAGGATACGAGGATTTCCATAAACACTAGTCGTAAGATCTTTGAAGATAGCTTCCATCTGCAATTCAGAGTAAAGGGTTGCTCCAGCATGGTCCAAATACACAGTATCTACAATACCCAAAGCTCAAAATAGCTAATCAAAGTACCCAACCCAAAAATATCAAACGAAAACTCGAAATTCCATTTCCATCTTCCAAAAGTTCAAATATTTCTTACTTGGAAACTATAAAACGAATATTAAAATACTAAAAAGAAGAGAAAAAAACTACCATCTAATCGCTTGAATTCGGAGGCACGAATTTCGTCGATGGATTTAGAAGCGTTGGGGTAGCCGTAATAGTCAACGAATTCCTTGAGGAACTCTTCCTTGTTGTCCATTTGCAGAGAATTTTCAGGGGGAGAAATTGCGATAGAAAAAAGTTTGCTGAACAGCCAAAAGGATTGAATTAGGTCAGGGAGTCTGTCTTCTTGCTTTTTCCTGTTGAAGCTATAAACTCCCAAAGTTCATATGTTCCGAACTTCCTTTTCTATTAAACAATTGAATATGTTAATGTTTAATTCAGATAATGATATGTTTTTAAATAGAGAAAAACAGACATGTAATAAATGAATAGTTAGATAATTAATATTATAAATTTTAATAGTCAGAAAATTTAATAAAATAGTATTTTATAATTAGGGATCGATTTATAACTTTTAATAGGTGAATGATTAAATGAAATAATAATCTATAATTGAGTAATCATTTATATACTTTGTCACATATATATAAAGATAATTATTATAATATTACTTTTTTTATTTTTACAATTATATCCCTAGTTTACATATATATTTTATATCGGATCAGATCATATCAAATATAAAATTTTATCAAAAAAATTAGATTAAATTTTAGGTCGGATAAAATTTTCCGAAACTCAAATCAAATTAAACGACAAATGAATAGATATCATATTCATGTCAAATCCAAGAACTTAATCTGACTCTATCCATGACCATTCTAGATTCAATCCCATCACCCTTTTTTCTAAAGCAAAATTTAAGGACTGATTTGAAACATTTCGATTATTAAGAGCACTATTTTTGCCTTTTGGGTAGAATGAAGGCCTTTACACATGGATATGAGAAAACCCAGCATCAAATCAACCTAAAAGAGACAAAATGTCATGGGTCAACCCCATACACTTTGGGGGTAGTTATGCTAAACAACATTTTAATATACAATTAAAAAAAATGTTCTACTAGAATTATTAAAAAATATTAATATTTTTAATAAAATATTACTTAAAATATTTTTTTAATCGAAAATATTAATTTCGTTACCTAATTTCCGGTAGAAAAAATGATATCGCCCAATATTGACATTTTGAGTAGAAAAAAATAATGTTTTAGGTAACGCTTTACCGGAAATGTTAAACATTTTATGTAGCGTCCAATATTAATATTTTCGATAGAAAAATAATGTTTTAAGTAGCGCTTTATCGAAAATGTTAAAAAATATTAAAATTTCCAGTAACGTCTTTCTTTAACTGTATATTAAGACTGTCGTGCCTGATACATCCCCTACACTTTGGGAAATAACCTATGCAAAATGTAACATTAATTTTTTTTAAAAATTGAAAGTTGGGTACTAAGACGGATCAAAACTAATAGTTTAGGTAATAAACACGTTAAGTTTTTAACAACGAATACTAAAATGAAATGGAAAACTAAACGTTAGATATGTTTTGAAAAAAATTAAAAATTTAAGTATTAAAATAAACCGGAATTGATAGTTTCGTTACTAAACAAATTAAAATTTTAATAACAAAATATTAAAATAAAATAAAAATTAAACGTTAAATATCTAAAAAAAAAAAAATCCTATTGGAGTCAAACTGTATTCACGGTGTCTGCAAGTATCAGGTAAAGTCCTGCAATTGTTATCGGCTGAAAGAACTTCTAGATGTTCCTTTGCCACTATTTGATACCCATATTGATTTATAGCACTAATATTTTCAAATTTATTTTTTAATCATTAGATTATTAATTCTTTAATATTGTTATAATATTAGTATATTTTTCAATAGTTAGGATTATAAAATAATATTTGTTCATAATATTTCTTAATAATTGACAACGCATATACATCCTGCAGACACAACTCCTCAAATTTAGACTTTTAAAGAGAACAATACTTCTTTTTAACCACTGAAGTTGCTACATGGGTTCATAACATCAAACATATTTCAATTTCGAGAAAAATGTATACAGAGTTACACATCTTGATAGGTAGTTTTTCCCACATGTCATCTTGTTCAGACAAGAAACACTTGGGTTTTAGTACATGGTATGCAGCAAAGGTTGATTCTCATTCAAGCCAATTAGATCCTTGAAAAAGTAGCCAACTCTTGAAATCCATTCATAAGATGAAGCTTCTGTCAATGTGTGCCCTGTTGATACGGCTGTCTGGGCTGCCAAATATGGTACCATGTACTTCTTCATGTCACTTCTCGAGATCTGTAGATGATTACCCGACACGTTTACGAATTTAACTTTTCCAGCTTCATCCAAGGTTTTCAAGCCAATCCAGTCTTCCTTATAGAGCTTGGTCTGCAGAGAAGTAGACACATTGATTCATCAAATAATACCGTCCTAAAGGTTTTAGTTGTAAGCCTAGTCGTCGAAAGACAATCTTAGTTATAAACCGTGACGTAGATTGTTTACCTCTTGTACGGGCAATACGGAACTAAAGGCCCCGTCTGGATAATAACCAAACCAGGCTGTTTCCTTCGGTATCAAAACTGTATCATCCTCAAACTGGTCCAAACATTGAAGAGATTAGCACACAACATTGTTGCAGATTACTCGTACAATGTTTCAGGAAAGAGTAATAGCGGGACACTTCGACTTACCTTTATAAGAACCAGATTCTGCAAACTGGCAAACCGCTCCTTGTAAGTAGAATTTCTCAAACCATCGATTTCATTGTTGAGTTTCGGGAGGAATCTACATCCTTCAAGATAGTCAGTCATGTCCTGGCGAACCAACAAAAAAGGAAAAATATCACTGAAATGGGTAGAGTCGTAGACGTATGAATCTTAATTTAAAGGGTGAATAGGAACAACATAATTGATTTGGCCTAAACGGGAGAACGGAAGGAAAAAGATAAAGAAACAATCATATCAACAAAAGCAGGAAGGAAGGCACCTAATCCTGTACTAATGCAAAGTTCCATGTAAATACTAAAATGCCAAACTGTTAATGATCAAACGTGATAATTGATATTGGTATAACTAAAGATAATGGACCAGAGTTGGGAAATATACTCACAGTTGGAATTTTAACATAACCACTAGGAGCCAAGTGTTCCTGCAATTATTGATGACATGCATTTAAGATGGTGTGAAATTATCTTTTAGATATACAAACAAGACAGAACGAGAACCATACTGAAAACGGATGCGCCGTTTGTGTTTATCAGTTTCTTGCCCTACCAACAAACTTGTAACTGTTTGAAGACCAGAAAGTACAAAAGAATCTTATACCTGGCAATAGTTGCTATAGATTCCAAGCTTGATTATGCTATCCAGAAGTAAGCATATCAGAGCAGACTGCCAAAAGGGCACATCAGACCAGATCGCAAAACCAAATGCATACAATGAATATCTAAAACCGGGTAACAGTTACTCACTCCGCAAAAGGGAATTGACGCCGTACCAGCATGGGGCCCTCCCATTGATATGAAATTCTTGACCTACACAAGTAGACGTAAAAATAAGATTTCAGTTTGAATACAAAAGTATATAACAATACTGCAAGAAGAGAAAAGCACAGGAGAAGTACAAGAAGCAAAAAAGCTGATAAAGAAAACAATAAAGCAACATAGGAAATTGAAAGGAATTTCCAGATATGGAAGCTCAATACCATTATGCAGCCAAAAAATTCACATAGTAATCTCATATCTCATGAATTTGACAATTGACAAAATGAAATTTGTTGCTACAAAATATCTGAACCCATGGGACCTTGTATAATGACTAATGGATCGAATTGGCTGCCTCATATTGAAGACGAATACAGAGTTTCTTAGTAGTATTAATTGGCTAAATAAAATATTAAATGAAATGCAATATCAAAGTTTTTAAGAATAAGCTCTTACAGGGGGCCCTCCATCACAAAATTCAATAACCCCTTGACCAATCAAATTACCCTGTGCAAAAGAAAAGTATTATAAGAAACGTTAATGCTAAAAAACATAAAAGAGAAAAGTTTGCAAGAATGTCAGCATAAATTTGTGGGAATGTGCACACATATAACAGGTATAAATTACAGAAATAAGTAAAACTTAAACTTGTATTAATCACCTGAGACAGTCCAACTATATTGTAACCCTTGCTAAGTTCACTCATTTTTTTCACCTGTAAGTTGGAATGAAGATCCATTCAGAAACAAAATTTGAACTTCAACCATAATACAACAAAGTAATAAACGCTGCCAAATGGTTTTACTACCTTCTCACAAACAATTGATGTCTGCAAGAAAAGTAACAAAGGTCAGAGTTATATAACTATTATAAGGATTACAAGTGATGAGAAATCTCAAACTCAATTCGAAATGTCACCTGTTCAGAGAGAGGCATTGTCCATGAATCCCAAGATCCATCTCCGATTTCACTAGAGCCAAGGAAAGGATGTCAGGTTAGTAGGATAAGAAAAAAGAAATTTGGTCCAGGGAATAGCACAACCAGAAGAACAAATTTACAAGCTCAAATGAAGACAGATATGTATAAAGAAGAGTGCTACACTCATACTGCAAAGTGCTCGCGTGGATTACTAAAGTAACTGCATGAGTTTGCTAGCATAAGCAAAAATGGTAATAAAGTCTGAGAATAAGCTCAAGTAAATTTTATTTTTTGTTCTTATTGCTTACCCGAATACCCCCTAAGTTTATTAGAAATTATACGATAAAGTTCGTTGAGGTCAGGAAAAAGATCTACAGTGAAAGTAGCTAAAGCAAGCCTTTATGACCAAAGTTTGCATAGACACAAAAAACATAATTCTGATTTGGTAAGGTTACCAAAAGAATAACTTTTATACTTTCAGGCTTCAGCCATAGAAAATTAAAAATGAATAATAAAAGAATATTGATCATACACGCAGTAGCCTTGAGAATTAGACCACTTGCTTAAAACCTCAGTGAATTCGGAGATTCCTCGATGAGTGCATTTATCACCAATGCCTGCCATTAAATGTGTTAGTACTAAGTAACGTAGTTTGTCTCCAAACTACCTCGAAAAGTAAAACTCTTGCTGTTATAAAGAAGATAAATAGTTGAGGTTCTACATAAGAAGATAAATGTTATAAAGGAACATTTTAGAACACATTTTACATAAAATTTGTTCAAGAAGCAAGTACATACTAATACTCATAGAGAGTAGTTTGTCATAGTTTTTTATGAATATCAAAATGGACACTTAAGATAAGATTTTAGCTCACAATTAAAACTTGCTGGTCTATTTTCTTTTCCATAATGTTCGACCATTTGGTTTCTGTTTTCCTAGGCAATTATTCAGCATGCGATTCTCAAAGAAAACGGTCGTGCAAATTAATCTAAATAGAATAAGAAATAACTTCAGTTATTCTTCAACGTAAAAAAAGTTGGTCTTGAAAACAGATAACAGCAAGCAGGTAAATAATCCTTCCATTAAAATTTAAAACAATTCCAGAGCAAGATCGGAAATAAGAGAATTACCGTGCAATACGATGAAGGGAACGGCGTGTGTGGCTGGGATAAGAACCAGTGTGATAATGAAGAAGAAGACGAAAGTAGTTGACTGCAAACCAGATGCCATTGCTGGTAAAATATAGAAATAAAGTGGCTCACTAGTTTGCAAGAATCCAAAAAGGAGCTGGTTCCTGGGATTTCGCAAGAAAACTTAGAATTCTTGGGGGTTTGAGATCGACAACAAATCTAAGAAGAAGAAAAAGGATAAAAACAAAAACTTTTATAAAAAGTTAAAAGAAAACTAATTTGACAGGCAAAAGACGAGGATCCAATTGCCTACCGTATGTACACCAAATACAGCTAAAATAGTTCCATGTGAGATTAGCTAAATGAATGGTGAAGAAGATCCATGCTAGCCTCGATTGCTTTTCTGAATTCCGTATCTTAACGCTCCGCTATATCTGTGGCCGGTCGTACCCGCTCTCACCAACGAACTCGACGAGGCAAGCCCTAAGTTCAATCCAAACCATTAAGCCCAATGAATCCATCAAAATCCAATTTTTAACCCATTCCCTTCTGTCGTGTCAACAAGTTTCAATTTATTTATTTTAAATCACTAGAGGCTTCGATCAGAGCACCTTCCAATTCATTCAGTTCTAACAAACAACGCCACCTTTCTCCGACTGTTCCCAAATATTGCGTGGGTATTCATCATGAAGTAAGTTAGAGTGGGTACAGAAATAAATTATATTTAACCGATATGATAATTGGTGGATATATCCATTTTAATTAATTGTATATAGTAAAATTAAAGTTTTTTTTTTTCCACCATAATAATCTTGTTGTGTATTTTTTTTATAGAAACAACTAATTTTATTTAAAATAGAAAAAATCACAAATTATAATAAAAAATTATAATCATAATCGTAAATTAAGTACATAAGTAGGAAAATTTCTTATAATCATTGAAATAAAACTAGCAACTTAAAATCACTTAAAGACCATACAAAAAAAAAGATTAAATCTAACTAAGAAACTCGAATAAAGATAGCTACAGATAAATCTGATAGCATCGGCAAACGAATCACAAAAGGGGATCAAACTATTGAAAGACCACCGACAAACTAAAAATCAGACTCGAGCGAAGTGAAAATCTATCCACAAACGCAAATCGAGTATCCAAATCCAATCCGAGTGTCCAAAGCAAGGAAAATCAACAAGATATCAGATAAGCATCATCTTGATCAATCGTGGTGATGTCAAATCAACCCTTAAAAAAATAAATAAAAAAAAGACCAAATGACCGAAAACATATCAAAAGACATAAGAAAACGAGCTAAAAAGGCAGATGAAAATAAAAAACAAAATAAAATAAAAATACAATATAAAAAACAAAGGAAAATTTTAAAGCGTACGTCGCACACTGTAACAGATAATTAAAACGATACACCAAAACACACTACTATTTAAATTGTTTTTGTTAAATAAATATTAAAAGGGTAAATTATATATTTTGTAGCTAAATTTTCACTTTTATTTTGTTTCAGCATCTAAACTTTATTTTTTTTAAATCATTAACGACAATGCTATGGTATGACATGTCAATTGTTTTTTATTTCTAATTACCATATCATCCTTTTCTTTATTTGCCAGTTCTTTTAGTTTATTTTTATTCAATCAATTAGGTGGTGACACGTGGCACCTCCTATGAGGATATAAAAAGATAGAAATCAATTTTATTCTTTGTATGAATTGAATTTAGGACTCTTACATGATAAACAACTCACTCAACCATTAAGCTAAGCTTGTCATTTGGGTAAATTTTACCATATTTTGTATTTAACATATATAAATGTATCACCACAAAGTCAATATTTTCTATAATTATAATATTCAAATATGAGACACTTTAAATTAATAATCGAAAGCTTAGCAACTCAACTATAGTATGATTTTTTTCTATTATATTGAACTTAATACTTGATTATGTCATTATATACTTTTTAGAATATTCTAATATAAATTTTATAAATATTATATTAATAATTATTTAATTATTTTTTATTTTCAAATAAAGTGAAAATTTATTCTTTAATTTAACAACGATATAAGTAAGTATTAAGTTTAATATAATAAAAATAGATTCGCATTATAGTTGAATGATTAAGCTTTCGGTTATTAATTTAGAGTATCACATATTCAAATTTTATAATCATTGAAAAATATTTTTCAAAAAAATAATCATTAAAAATATTAATTTTATAGTGATATTATTATATAAGTTAAATACAAAATATGGTGAAATTAGCTTACATAACTAGTTTAACTCAATGGTTGAGTGTCTTACATCTCTTGAAAGAGGTCTGTTCAATTCATGCTAATAATTTCTTTTATTTTATTCTCGTACTTGGTGACACATGTCATAATTTAATTAATTAAAAAAATTAATTAAAAATATTGATGGATAAATAGAAAGGTGATGTGGAAATTAAAAAAATAAAAAGTTGACTTGTCATGCCACATCAACATTATTGTTAATGTTTTGAAAAAAAATTAAAGTTTAGACACTTAAATGAAATAAAAATGACAGTGTAAGTACTAAACGTATAATTTACCCTTTCAACATTTAGATAATTTAATTAATGGTCTATTTTAATATATTACTTTAGTGGTATGTTGTAATGTGCGATGTACACTACAAACTCATCCTATTTTAATCGTTCATTTCGATCTTAAGCTGCGATTACTCTAATCTCTTAACTATTTTTTTATTAAGCTAAAAGTGAAGACGTACAACTATTATTAGTGGCAACATCGCCGATATCAAAAGGAAAAAATAGGTTTATAATAGTGGAAGCCATAAATCGTTCTATTTTGGTTATTATTAAATATTTCTAATTAAAAAATAGATAAACTACGTCAAATATCATCAACTTGTAAGCGTTGACTCATTTATACCACCATTGTTTTAATTTTGCCAGTTTTTGCACTAACGCTTACTTTTAAGTGCAATTATACCACTTCACCGTTAATAATTTAATGTCATGATGACATGATACCTCTGCACCGTGATATTGCTGACGTGAATGCCTAAAAAAAGTCTAAAACAATATTGTTTTGTTGACATAAATAATATTAATTTTATAAAAAAAATTCCTAAAATTCCTAACCCAAAATTCCCAAAAAGAAACCCTAAATTCTCAAAAATCCAAAAAAAAGAAACCCTAAATCATAATACCTAAATTTACCAGCCATCGACGTTGATAGCACGTCGTTGCCACCGTATTGAAGTCTCCTTCTCTAGTCATGCACGCTATTCACCATTCGCCCGTCGATTGGTCATCGTTCATGGTTCAATTAGACCATTTTATATTTGGTGTTTTGATGATCGATTAGCACATTGTTCTTCGATTTCCAGCGACAGGAGAGTGGGGTAATTGGTGGTAAGGGTTTACCCGCGAAAGTGGTGTGCGGTGATCGTTGATTCGACGACGATAATGGGTGAAATTAGAGATTTAGGGTTTTGGGGGATTTGGGAAATTTAAAAATTGTAGGTGTTTTATGAAAAAAAATATTATTTTAAAAATATATTTTTATATTATATTTGTAAGAATATAATTAAATTCTTAAGATAGTTGAGTGGCTAATCTTCATCCTTTATTTTCAAATGTCTTAAGTTCAAATCCCACTAAACTTAAATTTTAACAAAATCTTTTCAAGCAAAATGTCATCGTTTTGGCTTTTTTTTAGACATCAAAACAGTCGCGCCAAAATAATGTCGTTTTGGTGAGACATCCACATCAGCAACGTCACAGTGCGGAGCTGCCATGTCATCGTATCGTTAAATCATTAACGACGGAGTGGTATAATTGAACTTACAAGTAAACATTAGTGGGGTTGTAAATGAGATGAGACAAATCGCAAGTTACTCGAGATTGACTCGGTCAAAACTCGATAAATACTTGACCCAAATGGACTCTACTCAAGCTTGAGCTCTACTCGAATTCTTAACGAGTTGAAACGAACTACTTGATACTCGACTCGAAAAACTCGCGAATAACTCGAAAATATAATATATTAAGATTTTATTTTTTTAAAAATAAATTATTAATAATATTAACATGTATTTGTTGATTTTATTTAAATACAAAATAAGGTTTTCATGCATTTAAGGTTCATGTTCGAGTTTGAGTTTGAAGCATCAATCAAGTTAAGTTTAAGATTTTTTTTCATTTTGAGCTTTTTTAAGCTTAAATTCATGGTTTCGAGTTCGAGCCGGGCTTGAAAATTCTAGGCTCGCTAGTTTTCGAATCGAGTCGAGCTCCATTTTAGAGTTTTCGAGTTGAGTCGAGCTCAACAATACTCAACCTCGACTCGGCTCGTTTACACCCCTAAATGTTGTGCTAAAATTAGCAAAATTGAAACATCGGTGGTATAAACGAGTCAACGTTTTAAGATTGATGGTATTTAAAGTAGTTTACCCTTAAAAAATTAATGTTAGAAAAACATTTTTAATACAGGGTTTATTACAGTGAAAGCTTCAAATCTTTCATTCCAATCTTAAGCTACCATTATCCCAATGTTTTTAACTAACTTTTTTTTTATTAAGTTAAAGGTGATTATAAAGTAATATTATTCTATATACTTTCAATTATTTGACAATAAATATTTAATCACTCTTGTAGTCGTTGATGTTCGAATCCGTGACCTCTAAGAATAATAACGATTCTTTTACCTACTAGGATAAATATGATTTGTGCTCTTAAGTCTTAATTAATTAAATATATTAGATTGGATAAATAAAGTAAATTAGATTAGATATATCGTACTAAGTATTAGGTAATTATACAAAAAAAGGGGAATATGGATGTAAAACTAAAAGGTCATGATCTTCGTCACTTAGTTCCCATCATCCTTTAACCATTATTGTTCATACTTCATACTAAAACCATGCTAAAGAGCGTAAACACAACCGAAGCTCTCTTCGAGTTGGATTCATCCACCCTAACCTGAAGAAAGATGGGATTGGGATTGAAAATTTTCTTAAAGGAAAGGTTATTCTCATCACCGGTGCAACCGTATTCCTCGCAAAAGGTACATAATTAATCATATTTCTTTCTTTAATATAATCTAAAAGACTTGTTTGTGTTATAACATTCGAGTGCAGTTCTTATTGAGAAAATCCTGAGATCAGTACCGGATGTGAGTAAGATTTATCTCATCATCAGAGGAAAAGATATGGAAGATGCACGACAAAGGTTGAAGTATGTTCTTTATTCAACAATAGCTTTATAGAGTTTTTCCATTTTGAGAATCATTCATTTCTGGGTTTTTCTCAATTAGATTGTGGATATAGAGCTCTTCCATTGCCTAAAGCAAAAACACGGGGAACACTACGAAGCATTCATGTGGAGTAAATTGGTTACTGTGATTGGAGATGTTGC